GTATTTATAGTTAAAGAAGAAAATAAGAAATGTTTCATATCCATATTCATGAACTTTTCACGTTTTTATTAAGTCAGTTGGATTATCTTTGGACAAAAGTGATAAGCTAAGAGCTTGAAATGATATTTCAGTTTAGATTGTTTTAAGCTGTCGAGAAAAAAAAAGACCACTTGGGGAAACTATTACAAGCTGGATTGAACATTTATCTCCACTTTAAGAGGCAAGAACCAGCAATTGTCATCCATTAGACCACTTGATGAATAAAAGTCTAGACATTTACATGATCTCGCCCTCTTTCCCCGTCTTCTCTCTAACACTACAGCTTAAAACATTCCACTTCTTTATTGCCTCTGACTTCTCATTGGTGATGAGCAGGTACACAGCTTATATTTTCTTTGTTTCCCCCTTAAACAAGCTTCTGGCTTTATTACACATAGGTAAGAATTACACAGGTAAGAATTACCTGCAGTTACATTTGAGGATAGGAAGCCTTTTGGGACAAAATTGGCAAAAATGAAGGTTGCAGTTTCATCATAAAAAATAATAAATATATCAAAGCCTCAAGCAAAGTATCAAGCATTGTTTTTTTGTCATTTCAAAAGCCTAATTAATCCTACAGCCTGACCAACCAATAGGCTAGAAAGGTGTAAGTACTGAGCTGCCGTGGTCTAAACAGAATATGGGCCTATTTTTTATAGAGAAAGTCTACACATATATGGACTATGTTGGCGTACTAAGAGCAGGTCAACAGGGAGTTTAATTTTTCAGGAAGTGGAACACAGCATCAGACTTCCCAATCAACCCAAAGAGTGAATGTATCTATTATTCAAAGCTAATATGGTGATTATTATCAGATAATGTCACTTTTATATTTACTTTATTACTTTAATTTGTCAAATTTTGAAACAGTTTTTTTTTTTTTTTTTTTATTATTTTAATTTTTTTTTTGAAGGGGGAAGTCATAGATTTACTGAAGGTTTAAAGACATATTATAGGAAGCACACAGCATTTTTGGACGTTCTGGAAAGTATTTAGTGGCTCAATCGTGTGTCAAGACTTTTAAACTCAATCACATAGTAAATGGGAGTTCAGAAAAACATCATCCATCAGTTGTCTGTAGCGGTTAGCGGTAGGGTCGTGGGTGTCTCGGAGCCTATCCCCGCTGTCAGTGGGTTATAGGCAGGGGGAATAGATCACTGGTCCATCACAGGGTCCCTCAGAGAGGGCGAAAACAGCCAAACACGCTCACTCCTATGGGCCATTAGTCACCAAGCAACCTAACATGCATGTTCTCGGGCTGTGGGGGAGAACTGGAGTATCCAGAGGGAAACCATGCATGAGGCGACAACATGAAAACTGCCCACGGAAAAGCCCCCGGCCAGGATTCAAACGGAGAAAAACAGCTGCGAGACAACAGAGCTAACCGACACGCTAGTCTGAAGCCCATAAAAGAAGCATTTACTATAAAAATACACACATTCAGTTTCCTGGGACACCTGCCTTCTTTCTTGTGTTGAAATGACAGTCAAAACTGTTTTACTGACGCATTAACAGGGACTTTTGTGATTCAGAAGATTCCCGCCCCTCAGCAGTGGCTCTGATCTCCTCTATGTCTGACATATCTTACGCCTCTCTGCTGCCAGGAACACAAAAGTGTGTTAATGCTGCTCCGTATCTGTTAGCTTCTCAAATAAAAAGATCGATAGAGGCCAGTAGGGCAGTTGTGTGTTTGTGTGTGTTTCAAGGCTGGGGGTGTGGCATAGTCCGGATGGGGTATTGTTGAGGGGAATCTTGACGGGTACTGAAATCTGAATTGTGATGACTTGTTTTTTAGCTGGGGAGAGGGAGGGTGGAGGGATGTGTTGTGGGTTACAAGAGGTGGGATTATCAATAAAAAATAGCTCGTTATCCTCCTCTGATGCTCTGTTGGTTTCAGCACTGTCAGTTTTTAGGTGAAAGAGGCCCGGGTGCTATTCCCTGGGTGCTTGTTGGGTAGAAGGGGAAGAAAGAAAGCCGCCAAGATGAGACGAGATAAAATAAGAGAGAAATTGAATGAGACACGATGCAGGCCAAGATGAAATAAGACAGAATGACTCACTGAACCAGAGGAAAAACTATTAGGTTGTGAGTTAAATGAGATATTGTGCCTTTGCCAGCACATGGGGATTTGAGAATTGTCACCTTTGAAGTTATTCCAGCCGCACAAAAAGCTTCTGCTGTCATGTTAAAAAGGAAGCTTTGGAATTTTTATGTTGATGGACAGAACATATTGGAACCTCTCCCACTCCGGATTCAGAGGGAATACACTGTGAACACACAGGTGAAGACACAAACTTTACACCTTATAGACCGTGTGAAAGGGTGAGTCTGACTTGTAATTCAATTAAATTTAATTTTATTTATATAGCGCCACATCACAACGACAGTTGTCTCACAGCTTTCCAAACAGAGCAGGTCAGACCTACTCTGAAGTTAATTACAGAAACCCAACAATTCCCACCATGAGCAGCACTAGGCGACACAGGCAAGGAAAAACTTCCTTTTAACAGGCAGAAACCTCGAGCAGAACTTGTACTGGAAAAGATCAAATTAAACTAGAAATCTCTATTCATCTTCACATATCAATGGGATGAATCATTCACTTCGATAATGTATGAACACGTCAATGTCAAGGCTTTTTGCTATGGATCAGACTTTTGCCTCCTCTGTAACTAACACCACTTTGATTCATGGAGTCTGCAATATTCCTGAACGGTTTAAACCTTTAACCTATGCCAACTGTCTCAAAGTCCAGTTTAAAGCCAGCCATTATCTCATGTGCATGCTTTGGGGTGTTGGGAGGAACCCAAACCCAAAGTGAAGACACTCAGGAGATGAGAAACTGGAACCCTTTTCCTGTGAGCTGACAGCCCTGATCATGACATCACTGTCTAGCAATACATTTTCCTGATCGTAAGATTAAGGTTGCTTTATGACTTTTTCCTAGAAACTGAACATCTTTGTGTTATAGCAGTAACATTTTCATGACTGATGGAGCAGGGGCATTACTGTGCCAAGGTGATTTATCCAAATAGAAAGAGAAAGGTTAACCATAAGTTCTTTGCTGTTTTTCTTTGCTGTTTCAAATAAGTCAGCCTTAGGAAGTTGGCGTGTCGGGAGCCTTGGCGTTTATTCTCCCTCTCTCTGTCAGAAACAGTAACTCACGGCAGGACTCAGATACGGAGATCGTAATCAAAAACTATAATAGAAATAAAGAAGCACTCGCTGGGAGTGGAAAGGCGAGGCCAAAAGTACCAAATAACCATCACTCAATAATGAGGACAGACAGACGAGGAAGGTAACAAATAAGGATCACTCGAATCGAGGCAGGCAAAGCTATGAACCAAAATAATAATCTCTCATACGAGGCAAAAATGGGAATATTCAAGACAAGGCTTTTCAAGGACAAGGTTGACGCAGAGTTTGGGTCAGAAGACGAAACACACTGGCACAAGACGATAGGAAACCCAGACTATTTAACTCATGAAGGGAAAGGAACTCCAGGTAAACACAACCGGTGATCAGGGAAGGGATTTCTTATCAAAATAAAACAGGAAATGACAAGACCACATGGAGACCGGACAAAAAACCCCAACCAGACCTCACCGCTGGGACACTTTCCTTACCCAGAGCACCGTGAGTTACAGCCTGACTGGGAACCATTCATGTGGAATCTGCATTGTGTGTCCTTACATGAGTGAACGTGCACACGACCTCCCCGGGGCGGGGCCCACCGCTCAGGCTCCGGGCCCCCGACTCCCTCAGGATGCTTTCTTTCATTCTGACTATTAAGATACAAAATACAGATTAGTATAGCCTGAACTAAAACACACAGTATATTCACAAAGCCGCTCCGAGCATCTTAATGGCATTGTTTACAATTCCGAAACTGTTCCACATCATTGCATCTCAATGTGGCGACATTGATTACAACACCCTATTACAGTTGAACTACTCAGTGGGAAGCGGCCTGGCAAATCATTTTACAATCCTTAAAGGAGCAAATGGACAAAAGTGAAACATACTCTACTCACTGTTTCCTGGTTTTAAGTAGGAAAAACTAATGGCTAATTGTTTTTGGTTAGAATAAGCAAAACAAAGACAACTACTGATCATAGCATCACTCATTCCTCATGAAACAAAGTAATGAGTGACTGCAGGTGTTGCTTTTTCTAATTAATGTTCTTATAATTAGACAAATTATTGTACTGGCAGATGAAATATGGGAGCAGACATTTGAGAAAGACAGTTCTCTCTCAGGAGGTGACCAATCTGAACTTGCATAATGAAGGGAAACTTCACTAAATTGCTATCTCCTTCGTCCCATCTGCTTCTGTTCAATTCTCCAGAGCCTGAGTCTCTCTTCTTGTTCTTAGTTTATTACACAAACAATAATTCTCATCAAAGAGATAGATAGAATCAGTCATCCGTTTTCTGTTCTCACTAAAATCAATTCAGGGCGGTTTAGCTTGTCCCGGCCATGATTGGGTGAGAGCAGGGGGGTTACCAGTCCGTCACAGAGTCACATAAAGATAAGAAACGACATATGAAAGGAAACAGAACAAACCTCCACATGTGTGGGAAGAGCATGCAAACTCCAAACATAACGGCTTCGGATAAGATGCAAAGTCTAATTAATCTTTTGTCTTTTCTGTTCACAGGTTCTTCTGAGTCCCAGGCTGGACTTATGCTGTGATGGGCCTAGTGCTGGATTGCTGAGAGCTATCAGATATCCTGAGCCTCCTCCCTATCGTCTTCCTCCTACTCTTCTTTATTTTTGCTTTTGGAATCTGCACAAGAGGCTGACTCATTCAAAGCCAGAGACCAGTCCTCCGTCTGTGATACCGTCTCTTTTCTTTTAACTGTTAATCATGACAGACATTTTTCTCTCTGCTGGCCACACACGGTGGCCTTCTTCAGCGCTGCTCCTTTATTACACCCACATTCTGCTTTTGAATGGTTTGGGCTTCGCGGCACCCTCTGGCCCCGAGTCAGACTCCTGCTCCACCTTAATCCAGAGTCGCTTCTTCGGCTTCTTTCTGTCTTCTTCAGTGTTCCCCACTGTGCCTTGCTCCTGGACCCTGCAGAATCCGGATCCGAGACGCTACACCATCTTCATCAAAGTGACCAAACCCACGGCGGACTGTGTGCCCTCACAGCTCCGCACGTTCCAGTACGATTCCTTCCTGGAAACCACACGCACTTACCTGGGCATGGAGAGTTTCGACGAGATTGTGAAGCTGTGCGATCGCTCCACCTCGGTGGCCTTCCTAGAGGCCGGGAAGCAGTTTCTGCAATTGAGGAAGGGGCTTCCACCAGCCAGGGCCTCCATCGTATCCAGTGATGGAGAGTTTAAAACCGAGTACCTCGTGGTGGGGAAGCGGAACCCCAGCATGGCCGCCTGTCAGATGCTGTGCCAGTGGCTGGAAGACTGCTTGGCCTCCAGTACGTCCAGCAGACCCTGCGGCATCATGCAGACCCCGTGTCTATGCTGGGACCCGCCGCCGCAGTACAATGAGGGCGATAGCTGCTATCGCAATGGAGTTTACCTGGAGAACTGTTTACCCAACGTTAAAGAGAGCGGGAAAGATGTGGAAACCGCTGGTAAGTGGGAACACTTTTAACTGCAGCAACAATGGTTCATCACTGTTAGCATGTCGTATGTGATCTGCACAGCCTCCCAAAAGCACTTTGGGTATAAGGATGGATAATTATCCTTGAATCTCTTTTAATTCTTGCAAAGTAAAGAAGTGCTTTCAAGAATGGCTGAGATAGATGGGTTTTTGTTTTGTGATATTTGCAAGGATCTGCATTAGCATGAACCATTTTTCTCAGCAAATGGCAAAGACAAATGCCATCTTCAGTGTCTGTAAACCCAGGAAAAATGTACAATTGTGAAAGAATTTGGAAAGCTGTGTGATACTGGTGTGAAAACACAAGCAGGGAACGGTCTGCAGATGGGAGGCAGCGAATCAGAAGGAGGAAAATAGAAGGTTTAAGGTTTCCTCTGATGGAAGTGATCTCTGTGACCTTGCAGTGTCGGCAGTGTGTTCAGTCCCTCTGCGGTCGGGGGAATGACACTTGATCGGCCAGGGGGAATCTTTTGGGAACAGGGGAGAATCAAATGCTGATACCGGATTGTGGCAGGGATGTACAGCACCGAGCAGGGAGGGTGTGAGTAATGTAAATGGAGACTAAAAAGAAGAGGGATGGAAAGAAGGGCAGAAATGCAGCGGAGCGAGAGTTTGTGGCTTAAAGTCTTAATGTCTTCTGTTTGATCCTCGCTCCCTTCCTTCCCCCTCAGTGGACAGGATGCAGCCTGACAGCTCTATCCCTGCTTGGTCAGAACTATTACCAGATCCGTAGAGCGTTTTTAGCTTCCCTCCCCTCCCTAACCCCCTTAACCTTTCCACCATGTATCTATACCCCTTTTATTTACTTCGTACACGTCTCCTATCAGCCTGTGGTGGTACTCCTTTATGTCCTCATTTTCATGTGAGCCACCATGACTGCCTCACCATCTTTCCCTCCCCAGACTGACAGTGGGCTGATACTGAGCGAGTCGTAGGAAGCCAACCAAGCAGAGAAGATGGTGCAGTGGGTATCTCCTGCCTTATCCTCCTCCAGTCTCCAAAGCAGCTAATATCCCCTCGCTGCCCTAGCCTCCTCCTCACCAGCTATCACACTTATGTAATCCCGCTTATGGTGCTCAACAGCAGGGTGTGGGCTGGTTGTGCCTTAAGGTGTGAAAAATCATGAAAAAACATCTACTGTTGCCGTGTTTTCTTTTTCCATGTGCTTCAAAACACACGGGCAAGGCGTTTTCCTAGTTTACATATCCAGGTTCGGAGCGAATGAAACTCCATAATGCGGTCCAAGAGAAGATGCATGGCATTTAAGAATATTTGGCGGGATTAAATTGGCGGTTGGAGATAAAGAACGACTGGGGAGACATAATGGATTCTGTGTGGAAATAGGTCAGGGAACCAGGCGGTTAAAGGCATGCTGTGCAGGGAAGATGGGACTACAAGAATGATGGTTAGAAGTGATGAATGAGTAAAGGACAATGGATTCAGAAATGAGAGCGACATTGGAAAAAAAAAACTACGGGAGACCAAAGAACCAAGAGTGGGAAGGTGGAGGATGAGGCAGAGGATGCTTGATTTGGATGGATGATTGTCATTTGGGTGGAACCATACATGGCTGGGCAGATTGTGTCTCAGGACTGACAGTAACCAGTAAGGTGATAGATTAAAGTCTGTTTCTCATCTAAATCGCTTCCATTTTGGAGAAGGTGAAAGGTCTCTACCAGCATCAGATGGAAGTGTCACATTGCCAACATTAAACATTTACTCCTGTCCAGTTGATGGTGGTTAGAGAAATAATTCCTCTAATGGATGGTTCAGCAACTTGGGCAAGCTGTACATGGAAATTAACTGAGAAATGTCAACGCAGTTTATTTGTGATAGACAACTTTTAAATGAGAAGTCAGCGCAATTATAAAAGAATGAAACAATGTCTTTGTTAGTTTGGATTCAATCACAGATGCTGTAAGTCTTTACCTTTAAGTTTAAACGCACAAAAAATGTTCAGTCAGACGGTAATACAGCTGGACTTCTGGTAGGGAGAAAAAATATAGCATTCAAAATAATGCAAGGTGCTCACACCCTATGTTAGGCACTTTTGACTCCATACTGAAAAATACTGTGACATTAGTAAAAACCTTGAGCTGGTTTTCCACATTAACTCTTAACTGAAACAGACAGCTGAGCCCAGTTTCAAAATAAAGTAGAAAGCAATCTACAATTTTCAGTAACATGTGCAAGTCTGACTTATTCCTGATCATGACATCGATTAATTAGAATTTAGTCTCGTGTCTCCATTTTTACTTAGCTTCACTGAGTACATGTAATGAGGCTTTTAAACTCTTATTTTGACATTGATTATAAAAGGCATCATAAAAAAGATTGCATTTAATGTTAAAGGTTCAGATGCAAACATAAAAGCTGAAGTAACCAGATGATGCATTGAGTCTTCATGAATTAATTGATTTTTTTTTCAAAAACCAGCACAATTAATGAGCACCATGCGTTGTCGCTTGTTTACTGTGAGAACAAAGCTGCTGTGCCGTGTGAGAAATATTTAACCTTTAAGATAAAAAGGCTGACTGGCAACCTGTCCTGGGCGTGCCCTGCCTCTCGCTCGTTGTCAGTTGGGATAAAGCTGAGGACAATTTGCCAATTAACCGAACATGTTTTTCGAAGGAGGGAGGAAGTCGGAGTACGCAGAAAAGTCCCCCCGGGGACTCGGACCGGGAACCCTCCTGCGGTGATGGTGCTGACCACCACTCTGCTGTGCCACCTAAATCAGTTCAATTAAATTCTATTCAAATAGCTCTATATGACAAAAATGTCATCTCTAGACCCTTTAAAAAATGCAGTTCAATTTAAGACAATTAGAATCCCATTCATTGTTATACAATCAAAATCCAGTCAAAGGTAATTCAATTCCAAAATACCAAATCTCCTCTTCTGTCCAGTTCCCACCCTGAGGGTGCACTAGGCGACTGTGGAAAGAATACACTCCCTTTTAACAATAAGAAACCTCTGATGGAACCAGAACCAATTATTATTATGTACATTTAAAAAAGACAAAAAGGAAGAAACAGAGTGAAGAAAGATGCAATATGGCACCTCCCTTAGCAGTCTGGGTCTAACCCAGCAGGACTATGGGATGTTTCGGGGTCATCTCAATCATCCCTAACCATAGGCTTTATCAAAAACTCAGGAACCAGAACCAGAACCAGAACCTGCAGCCTGAGAGCAAACAGCTGTGCTGGAAACATCCAGCTGGGATGGAGCTGCAGAACTTTGGGTTCTGTTCTGGATCTTACAGGGAGCCGTCGATGAGAAGCTAAAATACGGTTTAAAATTTTCACTTAGCATTAGCCAAAGGCTTCTCAAACATTTTGGGGAAATCTATGTCTATATACAGAATTCCAGTAGTACATTGAAGTAGTTGAAGTAATAAATGCATGAAGTAGTTTGCTCATAATCACACTGACTTTACTGACATCTCCAAATGGGAAATAATGGGAAACAGAAACGTTACAGAGTAAATGCTCTGCTATCCAGGTTTGAAGCCAATCTTCCTTAGTTGACTCCAAGTGCAGCTTGTCGAAATGTTCATGTGGAAAAGTGTAAACTGGATTCAACCCAAATGGGTTTTAGGGGGTTTTACAGTTTGACGGAAATATCTGTAGTACAGCTTGTCTCTAAGCACGACACATGCCAGACTCAGGTTGGAGACACCAAACTTGTATTAGCTCTTAACTCTGAGCATTTGGCAAGCTAGGAGTAAGAACCAAGTCCTCCATCTTGGCAGCATAAAAATAAAGGCCTCCTTTCAAAATTCATGTCAAAGAACTCTTTTACTGCCTTTATGATCATAATCTTAAATTACATACTCCTTACCAGAGATGCCAAATAATTTTGTAACGCTCAAATATGAATAATGTAATTTTAAGTGTTAAGGCCAGCTTGGCTGTGGCCAAATAACAGCAGGGGAATACATTTCTCCTTTTGGACTTTAGCTAAACAATCTCCACTGAAAATTAAATTGGTGAGATCATATCAATTCCACAAACCAGATCATAAACGTATGACGTACTGATTGTGACTGTACACTGTCCGAAAAGCGTATCATCGTGAAGGAAAGAAGTAGAAATCCTCATTAACCCGCCTGAATATGAAGGCGTCTGGAGCATGGTGCGGCTAAAGGAAGGGCTCCCCAGCCCGCCTCCATAAGGGGCGCCCAGGAATCCTACAGCAGCTAATGCATTAGCTCCTCTTCACACCTTTACGCGTGGATGCCCACATGCCCGTGCACACACACACACACACACACGTGTATTGTGTACAGCCCCAAACACACACACACACACACGGTAAAAATGTCAGGCCAGAAAATGGCACATATTCTGATGCAGCCACACACTGGTTCCTTCTGTGCAGGAGTGGGTGGCTGGCTGAAGCCGATTTTACGTGTGTGTGTGTGTGTGTGTGTGTGTGTGTGTGTGTGTGTGTGTGTGTGTGTAGAGAGAGAAGTGTGGTGATCGCGGCAGGAATAGACCGAGGAAAGATGGAAGGGAGATGCTCTGTGTTGATGTAGAGGTCACAGCTCCTGCGGGGAGCTTCACAGTCAGTTTTTCACTTATTCTCTTTTTTTGGGGGGGAGGGGAGGAAAAAAAAAAACAGTTCTCCCTGTCCTGCTCCTCAATGACCAGTGTAATTATTTAGGAAGAATGGCTGAGATAATTACAATTTTCTTTCTTACCGAGTCCAACGTGTCTGGTTCACGGCGTTCGCAGATGTTTCCAAATAAATGTTAAATGGAAGGCTGGGGGGGGGGTTCTCACAGACGGAGGAGTGCTGCATCACTGTGGCTTCAATACTGCACCCTCTGTTAAAGGACCCGCAGTTTTTACACAGCCACGCATCGCCCTGTGATCACCATGGGAAACACACATCCCTGTAGAATATTAAAGACTGACATTACAGAACTGCAGAATCTGTTTAAATCCAGGAAAAATAGAGTTGCGTCTT